ATTAATTCTCTTTTTTTATAGTATTCTTTTTATTTTCTCTCTTTTTATCTTAAGTTTTTATATTATTAATTTTTCCTCTCTTAGAGTATTTATTTTAAAGATATTTATTATTATTACACTTTTAATAGATAAAATTCTTTTTCTCTTTACTATTAGTCTTCTTTTTATCTTCGTTTTAAAATAAGTTCTAGTATAAAAAACGCCTTTAATTAGGTTCTAAGAACTTTTTTTAATTGCTTTCTCTCTTAAGGGAAGAGTCCCTAGGGTTTCTTTAAGGCGCCTTAAAGGGCCTTTTATTTAGGTTCTTATTTTAGGGTTACGTATTATTTTATTTACCTTTTATATTATCTTAAAAACGGGTGGTAAAAGCTATAATTTCCTTTTAAGTTTTTAATATACTTAACGTATATATTTTAATATAGTTTTAGAGGTAAGAGTAAAGTTTTATAAAGAAGCTAAGTGCTTATTACGCCTTTAAAACGCGAGAGAAGTGCTTTTTTAACGAATTTAAGTATACGTAAAAGTCTTAAGAAGATTAATCTTCCCTTTAACGTGTATCTTTTAACTATTATACTATAATTACATTTTAATTAGTGGAATCTTAAATAAGATTTAAGGTTTATACTTTAAATTTTTCCTAGTTAATATTTACGTTTAAATTATATACCTTTACTTTCTTAATATATTAGTTCTATTAGAAATAATATTCGTTTTTTATTTACGTAATTATATATAAGATTTAAAAGTAATTCTTCTTAAACTTTCTTAAGGTACCCTTAAAAGTATATTAAAGGTTATTTAATTAATTATCTCTCTTTCTTTAATTTATATTAAGAGATAACTTAAAGAGATTTTTAATTTAAATTTTTAAACCTTAATCTTCTTTTAAAAAGAAAAAGTCTTATTATTTTAAGGCTCTCCTCTTATTATTTAAGAATAGGTCTTAGAGTAACTCTTACTCTTAAGCTTTAAGTTCTTAAATTTACTTAAGTTTACGTAAGTACTTCTTTAATTACGCCTCTCGCGTAATTATAATAAAGTACTTAATAAGAGTTAAAAGGGTAAATAATTTACGCGTAAAGAATATAGCGGGTATCTCTTCTTTTAGTATATTATTATATATTTCTTCTTTTAATATGTTATTATATAACGTATAACTTTATTCTTAAGTTCTTATTATCTTTTTAAAGGTAATTATATAAAGAAGTTTTAGGAATTATTATATTTATTAAGGGTTTTAGCCCTAATTCGTATTTACTTCTCACGTAATAATACTTATAGGCTTTAGACTAGAATTAGTAGGGATTCGTACCTCGTTTTAGGATATAAGCGGACCCGATTCGGTCTCTCTTCACAGGTGACTTCGTGTGCGCGTTACAAGTAGTTAACTAGTAAATACCTCTAATTAATAATAAGATACTTATATAATTTATATGATTTTTTTAAGCTATTATATACTTTTAACCTAGACTTTTTCTTTATAATATTAAAGAAGAAAAAATACTATTACCCTTTAAAAAATTCATATAATTATAGCTTTATTAAAAAATCCATTAATTTTTAATAAAGCTTTTTAATATTAAGTAAAGCTGCCATGTATTTATACTAAGAATGTACTATAGGGTCTAGCAGCGGGGTTAATCGCAGAAAAATTGGGGCGTGAGCGCCCCGAGTAAAATGGATGAGCGCCCCGAGCAATTGACGCGCGTTACAAGTAGTTAACTAGTAAATACCTCTAATTAATAATAAGATACTTATATAATTTATATGATTTTTTTAAGCTATTATATACTTTTAACCTAGACTTTTTCTTTATAATATTAAAGAAGAAAAAATACTATTACCCTTTAAAAAATTCATATAATTATAGCTTTATTAAAAAATCCATTAATTTTTAATAAAGCTTTTTAATATTAAGTAAAGCTATTATACATTTATATTAAGAATATATTATAGAGTTTAATAGTAGAGTTAACCGCAGAAAAATTAAGGCGTGAGCGCCCCGAGTAAAATGAATGAGCGCCCCGAGCAATTAACGGCGCCGAGGGCGCTCTACGGGCCCAACGGGGAAGTGGCGGGGAAAGAGGTGCGCCCTACTGCTGTCTTGCCCCGGAGAGATCTGGTCAGAATGGGAGAGCCGTTTTGGAACTGGGAGAGGCCGGCGAGCTACCGATTGGCAGAGACGCTATCAGGACGAGATGCGGACGGCGACCTTCCGGATGGTGCAGAGACGAACGCGAGTGGCTTCCATCAGCGATAGGCTGTGGTTCCGTGGACACGTGTACGATTCCATGAGTAAAGCCGCATGCATTTGAAGAGGGGAGTGTTGAATTCAAATAGGAGAGAAAGGTTTTGGGATGGGCTCCAGTTGCTTTCTTTTCAGACGTGGTTGCTTTCAAGGGCGGTCGACCACCCTCAGTCTACCCTGCCAAAAACCTGCATAAACCACTTGCACTGATTAGTAATTACATCACCAGTACCCTGGGCCAATCGAGTCATTTGGAACGTGCTATCGTGTCCATGTCTTTGGAGGCCAACGATGCAAATGCTCGCCATCGATATTTAGCCCTTGTGGTCGGCGCCGTTAGTTTAGAATGGGTCGTCATCATGGCGGCGTCGAGCTAAGCCTGCTAGTGCCTTGCCGAGGCCCGGGTGCTTTGCAAGGACTGGTACGGCCGGGGGCACGCGCGGCGGTGGCGGCGCCATACTCACTGAGCTTCATGGGCTTGGGATCATCGGACGCGGTATCGGGGTAAATTATGGTGTCTTAGAAGCCGGGAAACTTATCCAGGTCAAGTGATACGCATCGGGGCTTGCCTGGTACCAGCCCGCGCGATTACGGCGAGACAGCTAGTGGTATAAGATGATGAGTGCCCGGCTGAAGTCATCGAGCGAGTACGGGCCGATGAGAGGCTCCTCCGCGCGGCCCTTGTCGGTTCAATGTTATGTCCTCGTTCCCTGATGAGGCGGGCCATCGGAATTATAGGCGGAAGGATCCCTCCTGGGTTGCGGCTTGTTTGCAGCAAGCTCACCATGTCCTCGTGGGGACGCCTGGCCACCAGTTCCATTAGCGACCTCCCATCCTGTCCTTTTGCATTTATATCGGCGTCGTGGGCGAGCACGAGCTGCATTATCGTGCCGGGAAAGAAATCTTTCAGCATTTTGCAAGCGCAGATACCTTGCATCAAGCAGAGTGATAAGGCTACGGACGCCAAGCAGCTGAGTTCTGAGCCCAGGCTGTAGTGGAAGGAAGCAAAGAAGATGGGTTTGAGCAGTCTTTTCTGCCGCCTACTTGCCGTTATGCCTCATATCATCGTCCATATGCCGTTCACGTAGCCTGGTCTTGCTCTTTGTAGCACCTCGCATCAAAATGAAGCCAGCTTTCCAACTCGAACTTGTCATCAAGCCAACTAGTTCAATTGAAAATAGATTTAGATCAATCTTATCTGCTAGGGACTCATTCATTGACTAGCTTCATGCCCAGTGCCAGTCTTCGAGAGACAAATCTCCGCTCAGCGACGTAGGCCCTTCAAATCGGTCAAACCACTTGTATATATTGCGCCACTTGGTAACTACTACAGTCCTGGAGGACCCTTCACACTTGGCTCTCAGTTCGAAAGCTAAAAAGTCAGGATTATTAGCGTCACATGCTATATAGGAGTGGACTGGGCGTAAACATACTTGCGACCTGCCATGGATCAGCCCAGTGGCTTGTACCCTCCCTAGAGTAGAGCATGACCTGTCGAACGTCTTGAGCGGGAACCGGAGAGCTTCCAAAGTTGGTCTGTAGGTCAATCGGCTTGTCGATCACATCGCCGTGCGAGGGAGACGATGCCAGCAGGATGACCTGTTTGGGGAACAATTCATTGCTAAAGTCGAGCACCAACTCGTCATTCGTTCCGGCGGTCAGAGCAGAGATGCCCGATCCAAGCTCGAGGTGAGCCTCCATTGACTTGAATCTAGTGCAGGCGTTCGACTGCCCGACTGGCATGACGGCGATTGTGTCCGTCTTTTCATCTGGGTGCAGCCACTTCCAGTCACTTACAGCAATGCTCCCGGTAAAGTGGGATGGCATATTTCCCGTAATGTCGCCAAATCGATTGAACCAATCGTACATATCGTCGTACTTGTTTGTGATGACCTTTCTCGATGACTCATCGCATGTCGCGGTGATGGTAATGCCTATTCAATGCCAGATTAGAACAAAATATTCCTCCAACGTCAGCTTGTAAGAATACACACCTCCAATCTCCCATGAATCTGGGTTCGTCCGCTGATCTCGTACTGAGTATATTTTGAACGAATTAACATCACCGACCCTGACTCTCTTCAAACCAAAGGCCTTCTCGAGGTCAATGGATTTTGTGGTCTCCTCTCCCCTGGAGGGATGTACCAAGAGTGTCTGGTGGCTATTCCCGAACTCGACGATGAGATCGTCAAATGTGCCGGCACCGTCGAAGCCAGAGATGCCGTTTCCGAGCAACAGCTTAACCTCAAGAGACTTGAAGTAGTCGCATGTCTCCGCGCCGGAGGTCCAGCCGCCCTGCCCCGGGCGTGTGCAGGATTGCGCATCTGTATTCTCGCAAGTATTTGTCCCTGAATAGCCCCATGTCGACGGATCTACACCTAGCTTGGTACCCATGGTGTTGATCAACTCTGAGCACTGTCCGTTTTGCGCATCATTCTGTGCTGTAGCGCCTTGGGACCATAGCACAGAGGATAGGCATACAGCCCAACTAAAGTAGATCATGATTTTTCGGATGGAAAAAAGGTGATATGGGGTAAAAGTAGTAGAAATCCCAATGAAGAAGAATTTCAAGTTACTGTTGAGGAAAGAATGGGAGCCCAGTTTATATATTTCAAGACGTGGGAGCACAAGGCATGAAGTGGCGCAATTTCAGCGACAGCTGCTATTACCATGCAGGTCTGGAGCACCTCGCACTCAATCAGCATAATCGCATGAGGAGATTCTTAGTACAATTCATTAATTGTAGCACCCTGCAATAGGACCTAGACTTACAAGAGCCTCGATAGGAAAGAGAAACGCCATTATCCCCACACTTGTATCTCCTGATTCCTAGTTCTTCGCTTCTTTGCCCCGCTTCTTTGTAGAGATGCTTAATTATTAAGTTATTGCGTTATGTGGGGCCCTGTGACTTCATAGACTTTTGACAGGATCAAGAACAATATGTGAAATACCGAGTTATGTATAAGCTCTGTCCGTTTTCATCTGACGGGCATCTGACCGACAAGGCCGGGTTCACTGTGAGCCCAATTTGGATGGCATGTGGCACGAGTAATCCCAATGAGGGTGGGGAATGGCATGAGCAGTTCGCTGTTCAGCCTATGGACTCGGGGCCTTCGAATGACTCCTTGCAGCCTATACCAGTCTATCTATATGAGAGCGGAGCTATATTGTGGGAGATCGCGACATCCAGCCGAGATAAGATGAGATCATCACGATGTCAATACGAGAATTTGGCCGAAAAGAAAAAGACAGTTGAAGGGAGCTGGATAGTAAGGACAAGTAATAGTGACAAGAACAAGGTTCAGCTACAGCCAATGGCCTTTTATTAACTAGGTATAGTGTTATGCAGTCATGCACGCAACGATATTACGCCACGATATAGAACCCAATATATGCGACTCTAAACTATAAGCTTAAAAATGGGATAATCTACGGTATATCAACTCGCAGTATCACACCAGTGCCTTATCAAATATCTCGATATATATGTGAGAGTTACCCACATGACATTTTGCATTGCGTCAATGCCACAATGGCTTGAGGGATATACCGAGGATTTTATTATCGTTAGAAATACTAACATGACAGCACTACCTATAAGTCCAATCCTTGGATGATACTCGCCTAAGACCTTGACGTCAGCTAGTTAGCCACTCTGGGATCATCATGAGACCAAATCACGCCAACCCACCAGTGGGAACAGAAGTGCAGGACGCATTAAGAGTGTGGTATGTGTTCAATAATGCCGAACCTGCCATGCAACGACTGAAATTATAGTAATCGCGAAGAAAAAAGGTCTCGGCCACAGATATAAATATCCAGTTCAAGAACTCCTCATTGCACTACTTGTCAGACATCTTGGTGTCACGCATCTACTCAACTACTTGATGCTTAGCTATCCCCAGTCTACTACAGATTGAGCATCCACCAAGATTTGTTTTATTTCTCCCCTTCTGAAAGCTCCATACGTCGTCATGATGCTGCCAAAGGCCGCCTGGCTCGTCACTTGCTGGCTATGGCACACAGCCGTAGAGGCAACTCCAACCACCACGGCCAGACCACTTCCCACATATCCAGCCTCCATGGCAGAGCATGGCGAGGTATTCCTGGTCATCCCAGAAGGGCCCAAGGCTCTAGGAACACCCGGCTACTTCAGAAGTCAAGGCGGCATCAGCGAAAGCTCGCTGCCTGCGCCCGATGCCGAAACAGCGGCAGAGTGGCAACGCCTCCGAAACATCAGGCCCGATGACAGCGAGATGTCAATCGAATTTGACGACTTGTCCATGGTCCTAATGGACCTTGAGCAAGACGAGGCAGCCGCACGACGCATGGCATGGATGATGCTCGATCCGCGGCGGCAGCCAGCTCGTGCGCAGCGAGTTTGGATATATCGCATCGCAACGGGACCCAACGTGTGGCGCGCAGAGTGGCAAGACGCACTTGGCAACCCAATGTCGCTCTCCCGTGCCCTCGGAGGCTTACCCTGGTCGCAGATAATTAGCTTCACCGAACTAAGCGGATCGGCTAATGCGGAAGTGAGAAACTTGTTCGAGACCTTGACTGAGAGGGATCCAGCTGTTCCGCCCCAGGTGGCCACAATGCAGCTCTCCTGGATGAGCAACCAAGACTACGACGCGGCGTGGGAGAATTACGGTGCTGTCAGGGGAATACCCCCCAGGGTCTTCGATAACCCTGAAGGAATGACACGCCTTGAGCTGGCTAGGGACCTGATGGCACTCGTGACTAGCAGCCGGGTCGTCCCTGACGCACAGAGACGCCAGCAATTGCGAGAGTTGCTAGACTGGGACACTGACGCCGAACCTGGGCGTGATTTCCCCCTCCTTCGACATGGACAGCGTACGTATATTTTGCATTCTATGTTGTGGTATGAAGGCTGACACTGATACACCGACGCAGCCACGACGCTGCAAGCCGCAGTCTTGTCGCGGATTCCATGGGGGCAAGTGCAGATTCCGCCGGAAATCCGGCTAGCACTGGCATCGGGGCTCGTCAACGTCGGCCAGTGCGCCATTGCCTTGAGACAAATTCGGGACGCCCTCAACAAGGGTCCAAAGGGCAAGAGAGGCGTGGTGTTGTAGAAGACGGTTCCTATCTCGTTGCGTAGATGGTTTGAGTTGGGAGTGTGCCTGCCTTTGGAATCTCTGTACTCTTGTGGATAACGGCTTTTAGTAGACAAGGCTGCCTTTTTGTCAATTGAACACCCAGTAGACTTGGACGCAATTGCTAAATGCGAGAATCTATAGGATCAAAGATATTACAGGTTCAAAGGCTGGCTAGCTGTGTTAGTTTCATCGACTAGCTGGATAGGAGCGTCAACTCTTCATAAATATAAATCATTCTAACTGACGCATCGCGATGCGTTCATGGTGTCACTGTATTGCGTGGTTGACTACGATTCCCTGGCGTGGGTAGGGCTAAATATATATATATATAGTGCTATTAAATGTCTTATATGATCATCTGGCTTATTTCTTTTTTTTTATTTTCTTTTTCTTTACCAACTTTATACATAGTTCCTCTTTGTCGTTTTTATCACAGTTAAACGACTCCTCTCCATACCAGTTGCATATGACTCAACGTAGTTGCAGCAAGTCTGCGTCTTGAGAAAAATACCCACCTGATTCGGCGGGGAAAATAGCGCCTCCAGTATTCCGTCTGTATTTAAGAACAGATGGTAAACCTAATGTTATGACTATTTTCCCATTTTTATAATCCTAGGTATATTTCAAATATCAAACGCTGATATTAAGCATAATAAATCCCTTTGGTAACTTGAATTGTTAAGTTACGATGGTAGATTTCGATAACCTCTCTCTCAGCAACTTCACGATGTCCTCATGCCCACGCTTAGCGGCTAGTTCTAATGCCGAACCCCCCATCCAATCCTTTGCAGTTGCATCGGCGCCTTTCACGAGCAGCAACTTCACAGTCGTATCGTGAACTTTCAAGGCAGCCTGTATTAGCGCTGTACTGCCGTAGTCATCCATCGCGTTGATACAAGCGCCATTCTCGAGGAGCAACTCCACAGTCGTGTCGTGTCCAGCTCGAGCAGCCCTTATTAGCGCTGTGCTGTAATGTCCATCCGTCGCATGAACGCAAGCGTTATGCCCAAGAAGCAGCTTTATACTCGCCACGTCACCGTTATCGGCGGCTATTAGTAGCGCCGTGTTACCGTTCCTATCCTTGACGTTCGCGTCGGCGCCATGGGCGAGCAATAGCTGCACCAGCTTGTAGTTCGCAGCGAAAGTAGCAACCAATAGTGCTGTGTTGCCATACTCATCCTTGGCACTCACGTCGGCGTTGTAATCAAGAAGCAGTTTGACAACAGCCTCCTCACCTGACTCGGCAGCAATTAATAGTGCTGTCTTGCCATTCTTATCCCTCATATCTGGGTCGGCGTTATGCGCGAGCAGCAGCGCCACCATGTTCTCCTCCTCAGCAATGACTGCATGTAACAATGCTGTCCTCCCATGTATATCCTTCGCATTCATATCGGCTTTATTCTCGAGCAGCAGCTCCATTACTGTGTCGTGCCCGTGGATTGCAGCCAGCATCAGCGCTGTGCTACCATCCTTCTCCCCCGCATTTATATCTGCGTTTTTCTCAAGAAGTAGTTCTACAATTGCCTTGTGACCGTGCCGGGCGGCAACTGATAGCGGCATCATGTCTTCATTATCGTCCCTGGCATGGACATATGCCCCCTTCTCGAGTAATAGCCGCACCAACGTCTCGTGCCCTTCACAGGCGGCGTAGATGAGCGGGCCGAAACCCACTTGATCCAGCATGTTTGCCCTTACGAATGCAACAATCTTATACCTCGACAATATCTTTCGAGCTAGCAGTTCGATCCCGAAGTGGCAAATTAAGTGCAAAAGAGGGGGGGCAGGCGGCAACGGAGTACTAGCATTAAAACAACCCTTTTTCGCAAGATACGCCTCACACCAGTTTTCCCGCAAGGCCGACCGTTTTTGAAATAAAGGTCGTGAAAGTCTCAAGTGCTCATCCGCATATGTAGAAGAGAGCTTTGCATGTTCTGGCCAGAATAGGGTTGCGTAATCCAAAAGCGGTGACTTCTGCAAAACCGATGAGTTAAACGTATCCAGGGGCCCGTGACGCAAGTCGCTCCTCTCAATGTAATCGAGACACCTTCCTAATAGTTCAGAGTGTGCTTCACCTATGTTGATGTGAAATTCAAAAGGTTTGTCATTGCCAGACATCGGTCTTAATAAATAGTCCCTTGCAGATTGGTGGACAAGGTCGACGACCTCCTTCTCTTCGTCCACCTTGAGCACCTTGAGCATCGGCTCACACAAAGTTATGTCATAACGCACGACGTCGTCAATGCTCATACTCGCGATGCACTCGACTTGAGCAGCCGCCGCTAATTCTTTCAACGTCAGAGGGCGGACAGCCATGACAACCCAACGCAAGATTTTGGAGACCATGGACCGTTGGCTAACTTTAATTTTTTTCAACGTCCCGCTATAAGCTGCGTCCAATCCAGGTGGAGTTTTCTCCAAGGTCTGCAAGATGTCGATGCGAGTATTTGCCTTCAACAGCTCTGTTATGACGGAGCTCACCCAGAGAAAGGTGCCGTTGGCTCCATTCAGAAGAGTAGTTTGCACTTGCTCGCGAATGCTAGCGAAGTCGTCCACTTTGTTGAGTTCCTCGACTCTGGTGGATATGAACTTTGTAATGTCGTTGCTCACATGTTCACTGTTGTCAAGATCTAGTCTCACCTGGCAACAGGCCCCTAGCCCATCCACCTTTCGGCTAATAATTGCTAGTCTGAATCTTTTGCTAGACTATTTTGACGAAAAGAAGTGCCGAAATTTGCCGACTAGTAGTTTTAACTGTCATCATCACATTCGTCAAGCCCGTCAATGAGGCAAAGGACCGTGCCGAGATCGGCCTGTAAGAGTGTTTTTAATACCATCCAGAGAGTTTCAGCACAGGATACTGTCGTCTGTGTTTTCTGTTCGCCTTCAAAGTATTCAGAGATATTCTTCATCAAACGTGGGCGCTTTGTGACCAATTGGTGCACTAGGGACCTAAGAACAGCCACGGCACTATTGCGGTTTTCGTCTTGATGATCGCAAAAGTAGAACAAAAGCTCCATGTCCTTTGTTTTTTGAGTATGCTTCTTAAGCTCCTTAGTTAGAAATATTGAGAGCATTGTTTTGCCCATCACAGGGCCGCCGGAAATCCAAAGAAATGGTGAGTCGCCGCCAACCCAAGATTGGTATTTTTCATGGTCTTTTATCCATTCGCAGGTGCCTTTAGTCCTTTTGCCTTTTGTGCTTTTGAGGGTTTCCAGATCAACGGCTAGGTCTCTGAGGGACAATGCGTCTCGGCAGGCGTTAACTTTCTTCTGGTAGTCTTCAGGTTATGCCATTATCAGCGAAAAATGCATCCATGAACAGAAAATACTAAGTCAATCAGGTGCTGGAATTTAGAAAATCGATGACAAACCGTAAAAAATATTGTCACCCTTGAGAAGTAGGGTATCGTCTCGCGCAATGGGGTCAGCTTTCGGTGTTGCTTTCAGCTTCATCTTTCTACTCGGAAGATATGGTTCGATTGACAAATTACATACATCTTGTCATGTCCGTTCTCGGGTAACGCTCGAGCAGGGCTCTGGTAGCAGCCGCCGCCGTTGCAGCCGCGTAGTCCTGCCACTCGTTGTTCTTATGGCTGTCTGCATAGTCGCAAACACTCTTGACTATGATACAGGGGATTTCGTCCCACACTCCGGCTCCTTCCATCTCAAACGCGAGGAGTTCGTGTTTCTCGGCTATAATGTCTCGGAGATGACCAGATCTCATCACTTTATCACCCGAGCCAATACAACCAAAGAATACACTAGGGTCCATAGGCGCTGAGCCATGCTTTTTGCAATGGGTGTCGAGGCGAGGCCGTTTCACTAGTTGACAATGAAGATCACATTCAAGATCTTTACAACTCTGGCGGCGTGCCTTGTGGCAAGACTTATCTGGGTTCTTGCAGTCCTCGCAACCAGACTGGTGTTTGTGTAGATGGGTTGGCTCAAATAATTTGTCTTTCTCAATGCCAGGGTATTGGTATGTGGCCGACCATGACTCGGCAACAGCGGTTTCTTGTAGCTCTCGGAGATGAGCTACTGTGCGTTCCTTGATATTTTTAATAAGAGGACGCGACTGTATTGCAGAGAGGTAGTTGCTGATAGCCTTGGTCGGCCTACCAAGGCCCTCGTCCACAGTAGTTTTTGCCACAAATCCATCGTGATACTCACGTCCGAAATCGTACTGGACGACTGTCCTGGCGAGTATCACGTCTCCAAGCAAAATTTCATTTGAACTCCCATGGGGCACCCCGCCACAGATGCCAGTTAGGAGAGCAAGCTCAAGTCTTGGAAAGCTCGACCGAAGACTCGCTGCGGTACCAGCGGCGATTACCTTCCCCATGCCCGAAAGACGGACAATGACAGCGTCGACCGGGCCTATTCGTCCGGTAGTGTATGCATTTTGATCGCCGATAGCCCTCCCGTAAAGGTCACTTTCTAAATCATAGAACTTGTCGAATAGAAGGCTGACTGCATTGTATTCACATAGCAATGCGCATATTATAGCAACTCGGAAATCGTCGCGGTTTGCCGGACGCGTTTCCATCATTGCAGGGGATATATCGATAAAAGCTCAAAGCCGTTGTGACTAGAAGAGAATTTTCGGTCTGCGGAAATGCCGGACGGAGGGCGGAAATATAAGATGAGAGATGATCAGGCAACAATTGGGTTCTGTCACTACACAAGACTGGGAGGAGCAGCTCTGATGGCGGTGATGGCTACTACTCCATCATATTGCGTCTTGACCAATCGCGCAGTACAAAGTGTCAAATATATTGACAGCAATTGTGCGACCCTCAAAATAGTATCCAGGCGTTGAGTTACGTGACATACCTGACGAACCAGACTAAGATAGCCGATCTAATTGATTGAGTTAGCAGAAAGACTGTCACATGATGAACAGGCTCAAATTGCTAGCAATGAAAACTCTGATATATTTCGTTTATAGAAAACACGGCCTTTAGTACTCCGTATTGAGTAGTATAATACCACTTGTCTTTGTTGTCAGATCCCCACGGATTGCCATTGCAGCCTTGTATGGTGCTTGAAGGAATCCACACGCGCAGAAGCACATATTTGACCGAGACATTGACCGCAGCACTACGTATCACCACATGCTTTGCGGGGTTTAGGCATCAAGCATGAGACTTTTCATGTAATCCGTAGGTTGCGTTTGTGTCGACAAAGTATCCTGGTCTGTCCACCCGGATGCATTCTCAGCACACGACCTTATCTGAGCAGCCTCAATACCCAATACCCCGCACTGTCTGTCATACCATTTATTACTCGACTCTGTCAGACGAGCGCCAGTTATGGTTTTGCACGGGTGAGCCCATGGGCCACTATAACATCCATCGCTCAGCTTGCCGAGCCTTGCAAATGGCAGTGCATAACCTGATAGACGAACCAGTGCTTTCGTGGAGAGTCTAATGACCAGTCTTCGGTGAGCACGCAGGCAAGCTCTGCAAAGCCAGTTGGCAGATGATGATACATAGTACAAATGAGTCTTGTGGCTTTAATAGTCTGAGTCTGAAACTGAGTCTGAAGATGTGCTAGTATCCGACGTGTCGCCGTCGTCAGCGTCGGAAATGTCTTCGAATTCCGGGCCAATCTCCTCAAAACTATGGTCCGGGAATGAGTGCAGGATGCCCCTGTGTGGGTAGCATTTGAGCAGAACTCGAAGTTATAACGTGTCTTGCAGTGGTTTGTCAAGCCTCGAATAACCTGCAGAACTAGGGTTAGTAAATTTCGGATCCCAACAAGAGAACATCCTTGCTACCAAAGATCAAGCAAGCATGTGAAGAGACAACATGAGACTGTAACAGTGGGATTCAAACTTACACATAAACTAGCGTCACAGTAAGACGACCGGGTATTAGCTGTTTTGGATTGGTCTATATCTCTTTCATCAGGCTCCTCTGAAGGGTTGCCGCGCTCTGTTCTTTGGATGCGTTTCTAGAAGCGAGACCATGCTTGAGGAGATGGATGACATCTGCAGATTGTCCCGAGAAATGCGCAATCTTGAGAGAAGACCATCTCTCTCCAGCAGCTGACACCAGAATACAGCGGTCAGCGCCATTCTCAAGCAAGAGTTTTATGACCTTGATCTGATCTTGCGGCTCACCTGCCATACCTTCTGTGAAGGAAGGCAAGGCTGACGAAATAGCAATTGCATTGAGCTGTCTTGACTGAACTAGCAACAAGGCTGACAAGCCGGGAATGTGCGATGCTGTGGGCATCGCGCGAGGCTGAACCCTCATCACGTGACCACCGATCTGAATACATTGCCTATATTGTCGGGCAGTCCAAGGACCTTAGAGAAATCGATCCAATCAGTCCATCGCCCCAGGCTTCTGTGAAGGGCCAGGCACCAGATCCGTCACAATATCATCTCAACACCCTCTCGCTGCATCAGACATTAGAAGTCGCACGGCTACTACAAGTAGAGTGTAAAAACGGGTACCCGTGGGCACCCGTGGGTATCTAAGTTTTTCTTGGGTTATTTATAGGCTACTTATTTTATTATATAAATAATTTAAGTATATTATAAGTAATTTAATATAAAGATAAGTACCTTATAAATACCTATAAACATATAAGGTACTTATCTTTATATATAAATTAATTTAGTATACTTAAATTACCTACATAATAAAACGGGTAGCCCACGAATAACCCAAGAAAAACTTAGATACCTACGGGTGCCCACGGGTACCCGTTTTTACACTCTAATTGACATCCTCTAAACCATTTCTGAGGATGATATCTGCGGTTTCGGGCTCCCCAAGAACATCGTACACGTCTTCTCGACTAAGCCCGTCGAGAGACCTTGGTTGTAAAAATTATGTTTGAGGGTCGAAGATCTGGCAGCACAGTATTAGTCAAGATCAGAACGGTCTGCAAGCTGCAATGCTACAGTCACTGACCTCCGTGGCAAATCCCATGGCCATGTATATTAGCCAAGCCTTTAATAACCTGTTTTACAAGTTGGCGTATAGTTGCCGCGCATACATCTGGCTGTTGATCATCCATCACGGATCCCAAGTCAGGCCCCAAGACGGGATAGACAATGCAAGCATGTGTCTCATTCGGGTCCTTAATCCGAAAGTCGCGGAGCGAAAGACAGAGGTGTTCCCCCACCCCCGGCTCCTTGTTGATAGCGATTTCACTAAGATGCCGTGCTACAATCAACTCGCGGCATTCAGTCTCAGACAGAAGGGCTTTAAGGATCTTTACGCAACATATTTCGGACTGCAATGGTCGGTATCATAACCACACGGTTGAGTATCCGCCGTGACCGAGCTTGTGAATGACGCGATATCGACCAGAATGTCACCCCACAGAATGGGGTGATAGCCTTGAAGATTCCACTGACACTCTCATAAGGTCTACTAGTGTTTGTCTCGTCCCTCTACCGAGCGGGCCGAGTTGCTGTGTGCAATTATTAAGCAAGTAGCGATGCTAATAGGTTTGCGAGTGTGGTATATTAGGTACGGAGTTCTGCCTGCGAGCACGAGCATATTATTCAGTAAACAATTAACTGGAAGGTGAATAGAAGGCTTATCCACGACACTGATACTCTACCGAGTGAATAGATCGACGACGATTCGCATATTTCGGTGTTCGCGGATCGTATACTAAACGATTGGGACTATTACTTTAAGGGATATTTATATGTTTATTCGAATAATAACGGTGATCCTAGATACCCGCTCCACCCTAAATATTTTAAGTATTAAAACGTCGAAGATCCCCGTCGAGTTAAGCTCTAGAATATATAAGATTAAATATAAGTGTATAAGAAATATTCTAATAAAGAATATTTCTACTACTCTTTTATAAGAAGTTTAGTAGTACTAAGAAGAAGGAGATAGAGCCATAAAAAAAGAGAAGGAAAGGAAAGGGAAGGAGAAAGAGATATTAGTAGAATAAGCGTGTTAGAGCTTTTAGGATTTCTTAAGATTAGGTCGCTTACTTAAACGTAATACTACCTCTATTAGGTATACCGTTAAACCTTAATATTCGTATATATATAAGAGATATAGGTATTATAAACTAAATTATAATTTTAAGCTTAAGGTTTTAATAATCTAGATTTTATTTATTTAAATTAGGTTATATATATAAAGGCCTCTACACTCCTTTAAAAGTCCTTATAATCGAATCGGTTATCTAGGACCAAGCCTTCACAGCAAGATCGGCCGGCTTGACAATGTGCGTACTGTCGAAAGTCAACCCCCTCAACCCTTGCTGCTCGCCGCAGTCGTCTAGCTCGAAATCATTTCCTCGTGTGAAGTGTCAACAGCAAGCCCATTAGGCTGATCGTGTCCTGTATCGCTGGAATCAACAAAAGCTTCTAGCCCTTTTCCCTTGCGTGGGAATTGTCCAGCGAAGGTTTTGTGGACCTGTAACGCTTCGCACAAGTCTTGATGAGTAACATCATTTAGAAAGACGCAATCACCGAGAGGACTAATCGGCACAGCGGCTCGAAGTTTCCCATCTCGCGTCCGGAGTATAGCAGTTGTGGCTTTATCTAGAAGCTCTTCGTCGAACTGATGATGGTCTATGGACAGCCCAGCACGTGAAAATAGATTGAGCAGGCGCACATGATCTTCGGGTAATAGAAGTCCGCGCACACGACTGAGAGTGGCCGAATAAGCCATGTCGATTGAAATGGCATGACCGTGTCGCAGTGGAGGATCTGGAACAAGCTCGTGCAACGGCGACCAGCTAGGTTGCTTTGTTAGGTTCAACCGGTCGACAAAATTTGAACTTGGTAACTCACGTATGACCATAGGCGATGACCCTGTCCAACATAATCTCATGCAAATTTGGCGTCTCGAGCTTCAGCATCTCGTGGATGCCTGCCCTGCATATCGCGTCGGCGGCAGTTCTGATTTCCCGAGAACTCTCAAGCCTCCCGAAGGCGGTTTCAATAAGCTTCTCGCAGTACTTATCAAGAAGATCAAAAGTTTTTTTATCAGCGCAAGAAGAAATCTTGATGAGCTCAGCAAAGCCATTTCGAATTTGCCCGATTGGGAGTGTGCGAAGGAAAGTGAAGTCGAGAAAGGTGTGTATGGGAGCGTGATAGGCGCCAAGTCGATTCTTGTACCTGCCGTAGTTTACGGCAACTTTAATAGAGACTGAAGCATCAATCAACCCGATAACGGTGGTGGGGACTCGTATAAAGTTCGTGTTGCGTCGGTAGGATGCGCATGCAAAACTATACTCATTGGTCATCTATCCTCATCTGATCAGACACGAGGTATTCGCAGCCTACCCAGCAACGTCCGTCACCAGTCCGCCACCAACCACTAACACGGGTTCTTTGCGGTAAATGCCGAAATCGTTCATGGCATCAATGATGCCTAGCATTGTATCCATGGTTTTGGCCTTCTCCCCAACCATGGTTTTGTGTATAGTAAGCTTGATTTGGTAGTGTTCAAAGTAATTGTGAATCGTTTCACCGTAGAGGGAATAAATATTGTAGTCCATGACCGCAAGACAGCGCCGCCACCTACTATAGCACTCTGAAAGCTGAGCGTTTCCGATTCGAAACGCTCCGTCAAGGAACGTAAAGTCGTACTCAATCTTCTCATAGCCGCATACTGCGAAGCCACTGGAGGTGGCTTCTACATTCGCCTTCATGTCAGACATGTTGGATTGAGAAGAGAGCGCTTGCGGTCTCGGGAAATGGTTACTCAGACAGAAGGGCTTTAAG